AGGCAGTGAGTGGGGCTGGGTGGCTCCTGGGGTACGTGAACTCCCAAGGAAAGTAACCCAGGGGAAAAAAATAAAAATCACGCAGGAGGAGACTTCTCAATTAATGATAATATAAACTACTGAAAACACAAATCATTCCAAGATCAATTGAACACAGAAAAGGTCAGGCCCTTGCAGTACAAATCCCCACGTGAGCACACAGAAAACCCAGCTCCTCACACCAAGAGCATGAGGCCAGCAACATGACTTACCCTGTTGCTGTTCCCTACCTGCAGGAACATCCTGCTCCAGCAGGTCTGAGCTCCTGACTGCCCAGCCTGCAATACGTGGGATGTCCGCGCCAACTGCTGACATGGCAGCTCAAAGCTGGAATCACCATGTAAAGTGGATCGTGAGCACTTCTCACCTATTCCCTTTTCCTTTCTGGAAGCCAGGTGGTCCTCCTGCACCTACATGTATCTCCATGTTGCCCTGTTTCAGAGAGGTGAAGGCAAAAGCACAGGCAGAGATGACAGTTTGTGAAGCTGGGAATTTAGCCAGTTCGGCAGATATCTTTAGGTCCCCTGGCTTAAATCAGGGTTAATTAGAACCGGCTACTGCAAGCAATTTAGGCTAAGTGAACATCTAATCTGTTCTAGCTAATCACTTAATGAAATACAACAAATTTGTTGCAGCTCTTCACTGCAATACTTAACATTTCCAATATGAAACACTGAAAACATCTGTTTTGGCAGCCCTCTTGTCGGATGAGAGTACTCTCCAACAATCCCAGGAGTTCAGCTTCCTGTCTCTTGCACCAATACCTCTTTTTGCCTTTTGAACTCACCTGCTGAGTCTATCAGCAATGTTTGGGAATACATTATTCATAGGGGGGGGGGAGTGTAAATCATAAGCAGATACATCATACTGAGATGTCCATCACCTCCAAGGATTTTATTTTCTCTTCACTGCCAGGTGGCTACATTACAGTAACCAAATCAGTGGAACATATCAGCCACCCTGAACGCACATGGTGTTGCCTCCCTGCCAGCGCCCTATGCTAACCAGTGACCCCCAGACCGCCTGCTGAGGCGGGGGCTGGCAGGAGGAGCCAGGGGCCAGGAGCTATTCCACAATGACTGCTGCCAGTGCCTCGGCCAGCGGGGCTAAAGAGAGCTGGGGTGCACCCCATGTGTGGTGGCATCCAGCTACCTGGGAGCTTGAACACGTCAGGAAGTTGGCGGGATGGTGTTTAAGAGAAGGAAAACAGTCCCTTCATTAGCCATCAGATTATTTTCTATGTTTTTCTTATTCAGCATTGTTTTATCTAAAAGAAAAACATTGTATAGAGTAAGAAGGTTTAGAGTAAGTTTCTCTAAAAATGAAAACCAGGTATGTGAAGAAGCATCTTCTTTGGAACAAGCACACAAAAGTGATTTGCTTTCATCTTATTTGAGAGATTTATTATGCTCCTGTTTAATCTGTTAGGCAATATTATGCTAACAAGGTGTGGCCAGCATTTTTAAAATGTATGAAGCATTTTATTCCAGATTTATATTCTCCCTCTATGTGTAGTCCATATATTGTATATATTACAAATTGTAGTGATAAAGACTCGAGATATTTTCTGTGACTTCTTTTTTGTTATCTTCCTCCCGCCTCCCCCAACTAAATTGACAGTCAAAGCCATGACTAGATACCCATACCCAATGCATATTCACATGTGTCTGCAGATTTAGATGCATAAATACATTTCCAAATCTGTTTCCATTACTTTAAATGCTTTATAATGCATTATAGACTTGTATATGCCTTAAATCCATTTAACTGCTTTATTACGCAGAGCAGAAAGCACTGGAAATAACCATTATCCTACTGACAATTTAAAAAAAAAAAGTTGCCCTTGGTGTTCTCACAAGTCACCTCGACTGCAGGTGCAAACCAGCCAGCCGTCCAGGATGTGGGTTTGCACTGGACTGAGATCTAGGATTCAGCTGGAAAAATCTCTAGAATGTTTACTCCAAGCAGGCATCTCATAAGCCAGGGCCCTGCTAGAGAAGCACTTCATCGACTTACATGCATATTTCAGTGATTTTCTAAATCAGAATTCCCTTAAAGTGCTTCGCTATGAAGTTTAGAGTAAGACACGAATCATAAATAACAGCAAAATACACTCGTGATGTGAACTGGGGTTATGCTGGAGATGAATTTGATACAACTGACCTGTTTGTTTTTTCTCTCAAGGAAAAAAAATGCAAAGAACTGAGAACCAACACGCAACAGCAGCACAGCTTGCAAATACAGTTGCACGAGTCTCGCAATCTTTCACTCTGAGCTTATTCTAGAAACCTCTTCCTCCTCCCCCTATCATCAGCTGCAACAAAAGTTTTGCTTGGGGAAGGTACAAGACCCAGAAGAGCTGATCTCTCCCTTCTGTTGCAATATCCAATCTGAGTGTTACTACCTGCTTTTGGAAACTGTGTATAAAAATTACAGATGATTCTTGCATATTTTAATTTTAAACGTCTCTGCTCACTATAAGGATGGAACCTAATAAATTGCTTTGTTTCTGCCTCATGAATTAATTCAGCCTGCTAACTGATTTGGATAAAGCACTTTGATTCCAACTGATAAACTTCTTTTCTGGGAAGGCAAAACAATTTTTGGAGGATTAGTAACAAGTTCATTAGCTTGCCAGAAGTACTTTTATAGTATCTATAAGGAATAGACTTTTTAACTCACTTGTTCCACCCATGTCTTTTAAATCAATCAGATAAATTCACCTTGTTTTTCAATGCCCTGAATCCTGATAGCTCTGCACACTTGATAGGTAATTTAATCATCATTGGCGTGGATGAACACAAGCTCAAATTAGCTTCTGAAAGGCTTAGTCGCCCTGTAGATAGCTCTGCCTTTCTACTTTTATGCAGGAACTGAGCTTCACCAACTGGTTAGCTAGAGGTGTTATTAAAAATTTACAGAAAGAAACAAAGGTGTGCTCCAGTGTCTCTCCTTACCCTTTCTACTGTTACTCTGGCAGACAAAAGGTATGGAACCTGCTTCATGAATAATGAGTCATGTAATATGCATAATGTATTTTTAATGGCACGCAGTAATAACACAGAGAGATATTTCCAATCTTCAGACTCGCACCTCAGCCTCTCAGTAGCCTGTTCTGATTCTCCCCAGATAGAAGGTTTTTCCACGTCTGTTCATTTCCACAAGCCCACCTCCAGCCGTGGCTGCAGCCCAGGCCCGCTGCCTTTCGCCCCCCTCAGCAGCCGCCCCAGCCCTGCGCCACACCGCAGGCACAGCAACTGTGTCTCAGGTTTGGGCCTGAGGCATGGCTCAGTGCTGAGGCCTGAGGTTCACCACTAAGTTACAAGACTCTCCAAAGGAAGACGTGCTTAAACCATTAAAAATACCCTCTGAGATTTCTTTCCTTGAAAGACAACCCAGGCACGCTGGCCATGTCAGCAACACCGCGCCCTGCTTCCCTGACAGACCAACCTACACGTTTGCACAAGGCTCAAACACCACAAGCTGTCCCATTTGAAAATGAGACACTTCTGGAGAACAAGGACACCTTGGTATCATATTAAGGGTAAGTGCTGGCAACTGAGGCTCCTCATGCCTGCTGGATTTATACCTGCCTGCAGGTAGGGCCCAGGCTGGAAAACACGGTCCTGAGGGCAGAGCACCACAAGGCCAGCACTCCCTCCTTCCACAGCAGCAGCTTTGCCACAAAATTAAATATAAAACATTCCTCGGGGTAGCCCCAAACCTACCTGTGCCACCAATTGAGCAGCTCCACAGATCCTCCTGCAGCGTGCGCTGGGCCTGAGACACCACCAGGCCTTTCCAGGCAGCCACTTAGTCTCCTACGCCGATCTTCTGTGTTAATTAACCCAATATAATGGACCTAATGCGGTGCAAAGATCACCTGGCAGCTCCATCAGAGCCTGCACCACACACAGCCCCTCATGGTGGCCGCGGCCATGGCGAGGGGTGGCCCTGCAGGGTCTGGGTCCGGTGCTGCTGAGTTGCGCCCGCAGAGGTGGCGGCAAAGAAAGCAGCTCCCGGAGGCACACCAGATTGTCACCCCCACAGCATAGCCCTGGGACCAAGGAGGGACCAGGGAGCTCACGATTGAACCTCAGGAAACGCCAAGGCCCCTCACAGGTCTCAAGCACCTGGCTGCCACTGAGGCCATGACAGGGCATTCCTGCTCACTGCTGTTCGAGCTGCTCTCCGTTCTTGTGTGACAGAGTTAAATATTCTTTGTGTTAAAGAGGGAGAAAGCAAGCAACGCTAACCCTGTAACCCACTGCTTCAGGCACTCATCAGCCTGCAGTCCTATCCATGTGTAACAAGTTTTTATCCAGAATAAAGGTATAAACAAAGCCAGAAACAGAGCCTGTGTTCATGTGGGTGCCCAAGGTTACGTGCACACTTAAAAGCTCAGGCTGCCACGCTGTGCTCTGCTGGGAGAAGGACACAAGACTCCTCCATCTTCCTCCTGTGTCTGCCTTGTATGGGCTGCAACTGCCAGCTGGAGCAAGCCCTGTTGATGCGACAGGCAGGCAAAAGGCCTTTCTGTAAGCCCACACAGGCTTCAGTATAAATGATGCACCTGACGTTCAGGGGTCCCTGCAAACTCCTGGCACAGCCATTCTATCTTAAGGAGGACATTCGAGTTCCTCCTGGGCTGAGCAGGGAATTCTGGCAGTCTGTGTTTTAAATGCAGACACTTAGAACTGCTTGGTGTTCCCCATCTAAACCATTTCATGGTAGTAGTCCTAAACATAGCATACTCCAGTCTTCAAGTGTTAAGTATTTAACTGAAATCAGTGGGAGCTGGACACATAAATAGGACGCTGGTGTTCTTTCATCACCAGAGCTCACCTGCATTCCCTCCTTGAATACCACCTCTGACCATCACCAGAAGTGGTTTAGCATCATAATGGTTGACATTCACAAACATGTTAAAGACGCATATTAAATAAAAAAAAAATCACACCTGATGATCCTCAATACTTTATTAATTTAAAACATTGTTCCAATAAATATGTACTAATAAACATAAGACACTCCATAAAACCTAAATAAAGACATTTACAAACCTGGCAATAAAGTAAAAACAGCATTTTTAACTGAGGTACATGCAGGGTCATTTAAGGCAAATTCAGTCAATTATACTTTTATAATGATTCCTGCCCACCTCAGGAGAGTTTTCCTTTAAAAACTAAAAAACAACAACAACAAAAAACAAATATACAAATGATGCTATTGAGTAGCTATTTTCCAGTTATTTATAACAAGCCCAGAGCGCAGAAGCCAACAATTGCTCTGGACAGAAAGTCTGTGCCTCACCTATGCTCCTGCTCTCTTAGTCAGGATCAGTTGCTGGGTGGTTTCTAGTTATAAGGCATAACTCTGTGCTTTGGTTTTTCCAGTTGTCTTTCACAAACTTCCTTTTCCCCAGTGGATGTAGCAAGACATAACCCCTATATCTCAAACACACACTCACACAGCCAGGCCTTGCTTAAGCACAGATACAGCTTTGGGAGGAATAAAAAGGGCCTCCTCCTGTCAGTACAACTCCTGATTTACACCAGAATAACTAAGAGCAGGATGAGGCCCAAGCTAGTGCCTTAGCTTAAAAAACAACCAGATGTCAAACTGCACACTTCAGTTCAGATCCTCCAGGCTTTCCTGACAGGAAACCAAGAGTGAAGCCATTCAGCACTGAAACTCAACCAAGGCAAGCACTCCCCGTGTCATTTGCTGACTTCCCTGTGATTACCGTGTAAACACTGTTATACCCATGTTTCCCTGCAAGGTAATTCAAGCTACTGAAAACATAAGGGTTTTCATCTTGGCTATGGGAGAAATACTTTCCAGCTTACAGATACTTGGTAGCTTATCTGTCTTTGGAGTATCAGGCTTCGTATCTAAAGGCTTATTTTCCAGTGTTATTTCAGAAAAAGAGAGGGGAAGAGAGAGAAACCTCAGCCTTTGATTTCCACTCTCAGTCATGCAGGTTGAGCTGCCACTGCCATGTCCCTGTCTTCTTTCGTCTCCAAGCTCCTGGTCAGAAAGGTAATGCCAGGGTTTGTGCTACAGACAAGGCTCAGGTCCAGCAGGGAAGCCAAAGGAGTCTGTTCTCATAGTGTTGTAGGTGCTTTCCATTATTGCAGGACTCATTTCAGGCCATGCTGTGTCTCCCGGTGTCTCCGTAAATCCACCTTTCTTTGGAAGCCTTTGCCACACAGATCGCAGCCAAAGGGCTTGAAGCCTGTGTGCTTCCGACTGTGGGTGATGAGGTTGGAGCTCTGACTAAAGGCTTTTCCACACACCTGACACTTGTGAGGTTTCTCACCTGCAAGCAGGAGGTAGTAGAGAGAGGGTGTGAAAGAGGCAACATGCTGCTTACACAGGGTCAGAGCAAACAGGAAACGCACTCTGGGCCTTAGAGCTAATCAAAGCAATTCCTGGGTGATTAACAAAAAAAGTCATTCCTCCTAAAATCATGCAACTGTGAGCACCAAAGCATTAGCTAAGCCTGCACTGCAGCTGAGCAAGCCTGGACCTGGTTGCATCTGCACTGCCCCAGTATAGTCCTAGCAATAGCTAGGCACAGAGCGCTTCCAGGACACCACAACTTGCGAACACATTCATATTTAGCTGCACGGCCTCTATGGTATTTAAACTGGCTTTGTGGCCTAGAAACATCAGGAATTCCTGGAAAGACCCCAGATCACAATGACTACCTGGTATCAATTATTATAGCATCAACATGGATGCAAGTGCAATAGATGGAGGTTGTTAAGCCAAACCAATGAGCTGGGGCTTGTCCCCAGTGGAATACAAGGGCCGTTGAGTGAACCCTGAAGGACAGGGTTCACCCAAAGATCTCTTCTCTCTCTCTCTCTCTCGTTCCCAGACTGAAATGCTAACAGTCACCTTCAGCAAGCCCTGAAGTTCCCCTGCAGGCAAACAATGGTAATGAGAATAAATTCATCTTCTGAACTACTCCCACAGAGGGTTCTGTGGAACAACTCCACTGGCCTCTAGGCGAGTAGGATCTCAATGTGTTTTCATAGTGTTTATTATCAAATAACGGATAAAAGGGAACCCCAACCACAAAACCAAGCCTGATTTTCAGAGTGACTTTGCACCTGCAGAGCTCACTAACTTCAGCTGGAGCAACTAGCACTCTGTACATTTGAAAAACAGATTCTTAGAAAAATAAAACCGTGTAAAATGTGCTGGAGGCTCAGTTCACAAGTGTGTTGCATCTGAAAGTGATTCCTGGATTCTATTAAGGAGCTGGTTTTATGTCAGCAATTTGAAAGCCCAGGGACAGTTTCTGATCTCAGAATAATAATAAAAATAACATTTTTGGCCAATTCAGAATTTGGCTGAAATTCCACTTAATCAAGCCTCATTTGAAAAAGTTACTACGGAAATACTTCTTGCTTTTCTTCACCATCAGTTCATTTTCATCCAGCAGACACGTGGTAGAGAATCTTTTAAAGTAATAATTATTTTCCACTGCTTGTGGTCTAGAAAAAACACAAGCTGAGAGCACTACATATAATGCCATCTTTCTATATATTTGCCGTTTTTATACTTCACCCTTGATATCTGCTGATATTCCACTCTCAGGAAACAGGATTTTGGTCATCTAAACTTTGGGTTAGGCCAGTACAGCTACTATTTTATGCCTACAAATGTTTCTGTATCTCACATATCACTCATTTCCCTCTACTTTAAGTGATCAGTGCAGGTCTGAAAGGCAAGATTTACTTTTAAAGAATTCTGATAAACCTGCCTTCTCACTGAACAATATTTTAAAACAATTTCCTTTGGTGATTCACCTGCACTTTATTAGTTTCCATGTTTATTACTAACAGTGAAACTCGAGAACTCTGCACCTCTCCTTGCATTCTGTATCAGACTGCAGCCGTTTCTCAGAAAGTCCGGGTGGAAGTGCAGACAATCAATCTCTGAACAAATATTTAGTCTAAGAGTTGGATCCTGGGACTGCCAGTTTAGTGTTTGACCTAGAGGAGGAGACTCCTCTTGTTCCTATTACAAATTGGTAGATCCTGTAAAAAGGGATGCTGCAAATTCCCTTATCATATTCCAGGGACCTCAGCTGTAAATCAAGGCCACATGAATATAATACTCTACAAATCATCTTACACAAAAGCTCTTTGAATAAACATTGGTGGATCCTGTTAAGGGAACACTGATTGGATTGCGAGGATTTTGGTTATTTTGCAGCTGCTGTTCATGAAACCACATTCAAATCACCCTCATTTGCACAAGTAGAACTCAGATAGTGTGAACCGCAGCAGGGCAGTGAGAAGCATGGGGAGGTGCACGTGCTGTCCCAGCTAAGGAGGAACAAGCTGCTGCAGAGAGACCTCTTCAGAGACCTGCACCTACAGCTGGGGCTGAACAGCAGCACCTGCAGGGCTTACCTGTGTGAATGAAGGTGTGTTTCTTCATATCAGATTTCTGGTGGAACCTCTTCCCGCAATACTGGCAGGGATAGGGCCGTGTGTCTGAGTGGATGAGCAGGTGGGTGGACAGAGTAGAAGATCTCTTAAAACTCTTGCCACAGATCTTACAATCAAAGCTACGTTCCTGCAGAAAGAGGAGCCCAAACATGCCCACATTACACCATGACAGAGATCCCACCAGTAACAAACTGGCACATCAGTGTTGCCCCTCCTGCCTTAGAAAGCACTTCCACTTCTCCAGAGAACAAACAGGAATGGCCTGAGGAGATGCTAAAACTGGCACGACGGCACCGCATGGTAAAAAAGATTAAGTGTATCCTCTCCCAGTGCTCTGCACCACTTTTCACAAAATTAATTTAATAGCTCTTCCTGCTGGCAGGAATGGCCAGGTGGGAGCAGCCCCAGCTGGACAGAGTCCGCCAGCATATTTCAACGTGGGCCTAAGACATGATCACTCTGCTGAGAAGACCAACAGCAGCAGATCTGTTCCAAGGCCACCTCTCCACTCTACATGGGAGAGTGAGTGCCAAGGTCTGCATAGCTCTCCTGGAAAATCTCCATGGCAGGCTGATTTCTGCTGTAAGCATAACAACTAACTACATATTTCTATTTCCATTATAAATTCAAGTGAAAGGTACCTAGAGCACCTGGAGAAAACAGCTTTCTGGCTTACTACTTTAACAAATCAAACTAAATGCGTTAAGGTTGCTGTCTTTCTCTCCTTTCCCTCACGCATGCATTTCTATCACTTTCTTCCACCATCTCTTCCTCCCACCCTTTATCTCCCTCTTCCTGATACGCTTTCATAGTCACCTTATTATATTTGGCTTTTTATGCACGCTCCCTGAAATGTTCTCCCCTCCATGGACTTAATATGCAGTGCTGCTCTTTTCAACATTATTTAATGGGTGATGAGATATTTCCCTTCATTGTGTGCCCTGCTGTTGCACACTCATGCAACTGTAAATAAGACAGTTAGCAAACAAACACTGCTGTAACTCTATCCTCCCAAACCCAATCTGAGGAAGGAAGATTTGCCAGGTTAAGTGGGTGGGTGAAGGGGAAATATGGCACAGTATCAGCAGGTGGAAAATGTTACAAATCCTCCTGCCAAAATTAACTACCATATTCTTTTGGTGTGTGACTCAGAGGGTGTCGAGACGGGTGAAGTCTGTGCTCTATACCTGACTGGTCGCTCAGATGTTCCCTACACAGACACAATGACTACAAACAATGGAAGATTCACTTATTTGGAGGACGGGGAGGAGAAAGAATGAGGAGAACTGTGTCAAAAGAAAGCATGGTGACTTGCTTTAGCTGTTAAAAATGTACACACCCTTGTTATAGTTTACAGCTCAGAGAGTAAAAAATTATTTTTTATTATCTTTTACTTCTGGAGTGCCAAAAGAGACCTTTGCTTATTACACACATATGAAGTCAGGGGAATGGAAACAAAGTCTGTGTTCTTTAATCTATTGATTTGTTCCTACTCTTCTTTTGCTCCCTAGCTGCCCACCCTTTACTCTGCCTGCCACCATACCCTTCGCCCACAACTCTCCGCTGCAGCCTGACCATACTTTCTTCCTCTCCTCAGCTTCAACACCCACCTACTGCCCTGTGATTGCCTTTGTGGCCTGCCCAGTGCTGGCTGAAGCAAGCATCTGGCCCTGGCCCTCCAATTTTCGTCCTGGCTGCTTGCCACGCTCTCACCTGCGAGTGCACGGCCTTGTGCTGCTCCAGGCTGACTGCATGGCCGAAGGTCTTGCCACACATGTCACAGGCAAAGGGCCTTGTGCCACTGTGTGAGCGGCGCACATGTACCTCAAGGCCATGCGGTGTGGAGAAGACCTGAAGGGGAGAGAGTGTACAGGGTCAGGCTAGCCAGGGAGAAGGGGCTGGAAAAGAGTCAAACCGGAGTGCGAGAAAAAGGTCCCTACCTTGCTGCACTTGACACACTTGTAAGAGCCAGTGCTGATGAGCAATGGGCGGCACAAGAGGTCCGACTCCACTTTGATGCTGCCAGGCCCCTTCTCCTGCTGCAGCCCAGGCTGCGTCTCGGCATAGAGTCCAGGCGCTGCTGCTGGAGGCCGCTCGAACAGCCCTGGGCCCGGGGAGCCGAAGTCACCGTAAAGTCCGAGGGAAGAGCTACACTCCGCACCATAGAGGGCAGGCTCGGAGCCGCGCTCACAGAAGAGCCCCAGGGCTGAGGTTCGCTCCAGCGTCGGGCAGGGCCTGTAGCTTTGTACCAGGTGCCTCAGCTCAGAGCCCCCCAGGCTGCTCCACGCATACGGTTTGAAGGGCACTGAGAAGGGGGGTGCTTCATCCAGGGATGGACACACAGATTGCTCTGAGGCTGTGGAAACACAAGGGCATGGGAATTAGTGCGTTTCACAGTCCGGCCTCTGTTGTGGAGCAGAATCGGCTCAGCATCCAGGCTTGTGGCAGAGCCAGACCCCTGTACTGCACATTAGAGCTGGCCTTTCACCCCCCATGGGAGGGCATTTTATATTGCTTCCAGTGCTAACTCCTCACCTGCTGCACCAGCCAAATTATTTAAAGCAACCACCAGTTTTGTCTGCCTCCATCTTTGGGTGCCCAGGTGCATAGACACTGATCTGACTGTTGAGATACTAAACAACTCGGTCTTCAACTTCCTTTGGTTTCATCTGCAGCTCCTCAGAAAAGCGTATGTATTATATCCCAGGCTGAGCATCACAGCTGACAGTCCAAATATCTAAGTTCTGATGTAGATCGCACCCATCCGTATTATAAAAATGACATCATAGAGGTGCCAAAAGAAACAAGCGTGCTAAGATTTACCTGTTCAACAGAACTAAAAATTGTTTCCTGTGCAATTTAATGTCCAAATCTAGTCTCTCAACTTCATGTAACAACTGCCTGCAACTGTACTAACTACAGCATAATTGAAACAAAGGACAGCTTCTTCCTGAGGTGCTTGAATTTCACGTCTCACTTTTTAAAAAAAAAAAAAAAGGAAAAGAAAAAAAAAAGAAAAGAAAAATAAATCTGAAATAAAATCATGGTTGTTTCGGATTCCTCTGAGGAAAGAAACTGAGTCCACCCAAACATTGAGTTCATAAACACATTATGAAAATCACTGGTATAGACTGCATTAAAAATTGAGGTGACAAAGAGATTTTCCTATCAGCCATAATCAAAGCTATCTTCCATCACGACAAGCTCAGATGGCTTCAGCTGGCTTTAACAGCCTCACCTTTGGCAACAACATCTGACCAAGACAGTAGGTACAAGATGAATCACACTTGGTGGGGGCTTTAGCAGAGACTGATGCAATGGCAGGAACACAGCCTCTGAGATCAGTGTTTAACGGCACAAATGCTCAGGGTGCCTTGCACAGAGGAAAGCACAGTTGGGCAGGGAACACGGGTACCAGACCCCAGCTGTGTCTGCCAGAGATGGTGATTAACACCCGAGGTGCTCTGCTTTCACTTCACCACAAGAGTCAGCAGGGCTGGGAGAGTCAAATGTTTCCACTGGACAAATGTGTTAGCAAAACAAGGAAAAGATGAACAAATTAACTGCTCAAGTGCTGATGCCTTCACAGAGATATTGGCATCCCAATTGGGCTACCAGAATAATTTCCCCTAAGCAAAAACATGCACACTCACAATTGCTTGACTTTTGTCATTCTTGTCAGCTTTAGCAGCCTTCAGCAAATCAAGATAACCCAGGGTGGGATAGGTAAAAGAGGCATGGTGTGTTAGCCTACCCGTTTAGGTAGGCTGATGGTCACTGAGGGTTACAGAAGGGAGTGAAAATAAGGCAAAAATCGAGTTTTGATTGACCTGTTTTCCTTCTTTTATATAGTTTCAGATGTTAACAGCCTCAAGTTCTGCCATTGCAATTACCAGTCTTTCGGTTGGAAATATATGCACACATACCAACTGGGACATTTGAACAGAGAGATGAAATCAAATTAGCTGACATGGTGCTGAGCATGATTTTTCCTGTTCTGCACTGACTGCAAAGTTGTGGTCAGCGTCACATCATCTATCTTTGTGTCTTTGCAACCAGTTTCAGTGTTGCCATCTCTCACGATTTTATCACAAGATTCAAAACTATCTTAAAGCTCCAGCTCTTGAAACTGCATGATTTCATCAGGCCCTCAGCTTTCCTTTTGTTTGCTTGTTCTTGTTGTAACTAATTTTTTCCCCTTAAAGTCAACTACTAGTCCAGACTGTAAAGAAAAGCACGAAAACGTAGACCCTCAATATTTCAACACCAGAATTGAATATCCATAAGGTATTACTTACAATCTTGATCTCTGTGCCAGTCTGTTGAGAGAGAGGGGAGGGAAGGCTGACCTGATTTTTGAGCCCTCGGAATTGGCAACACTGGACACGTAAACGTTGCACCGCAGCTCAGTTTGCGTGCAATGTTCCTTCCATCACCTCACACGCTTTGGAGACCTCGCAAGCACAAGTGCAGGGGAGCCACTCACGCTACACTTCCCAGGGGCAAGCTCAAGCCACTCAAGCCCCACATCCAGCGTCAAACTGTGCTCTGCTAGACTGCAAGGCAAAAGACATTGCTGTGTCTGCCTCTCCTCTGCTTCACAGCATCTAGCCCTCCACAGGGTGATCAGGGAGGGACTGACAGACTCTCCCTCCTCTTCCTAGCAGTTCTGTGCAGCCGCTGGGAGAAGAAACTGTTCTTTTTTTGAAGGCAAGGCAAACTCAACCTGAAACGGCTGGGAACTGATTGATACACACAGAAAGAAAGATTCAAAGGTCCACCTCCACAGATCAAAAACTATCACAATGACAATGGAATGACAACGCTGTTATACCCAGTAAAAGGTATAAGCCCCGCCAAGACTCGAATATCAATTGGCTTATCAGACAACACCAATATACTGCTGCACAGAGTTATCAGGCGCTTTCTGGATATGCAAACGCGATTACAAACACACATAGAAAGCGAGGTTAAATAACAAAGTGATTTGCACTGACGGAGACAATGTATGTAGAATGCCAACAACGCTGTAAAGGTACTGTATTGTACCTCTGTCTGCTCACTGGGATCAGCAGCACTGCATGCAAAGACAGACCCAAAATCTGGCTTTCACTGCACATCGAAGTGCAGCCTGCATCCATGTTCACTGCTGGAGATGAGGGGGTGACGGTACTGCTCGCTGCACCTGTCCTAAGCGTGATTTAGAAACATCATTTCACATCTGACCTGCCTGTGAAAGCACAGAAACCGTGCCCCACCCAGGCAAACACAACCATAAAAATCCAGAATCTCACCAGCACATCCCGCAGAAGTGACCTAGGCATAAATTCTGGCTTCAGACTGAATGTGACCAAGGCAGGGATTCGGGAGGAGCAGAGGGAGGAAGCCCGCCTATCTAATCCTGCTGCCGCTGCCTCAATCCTTAATGTAACAGCACCTCTCTCAACGTACTGAGGTTCCTTTAATGAAAGCTTTTTGTGCCAGGACTGGGCTTCTGTACATTCCCTTGTCCCCTGTGAATGGGATCAGACAGTCCCAGGACTGAGCCCCTCCTCTAAAAAATCTTGATCTGGGGATGCATTTTGCAGAGGTACTTTTCCCAGGTAACTGGATGGGGGGCAGGGAGCTAATGAATCCCACAGCATGGGAAGAAATCAGTGAGGAGGAGGCAAAGGCAGAGCAGCCCTGGGAAATAGCTGCTCCATTTTATGTCTGTCTTTTAGACATCTTGTGAGAACGGTCTGTTTCCTATCAAGGAATTGTAATTATTTGGAGAATGAGGAGTGGGACCAATTCATTAGAATAAAAATTACACATTGTTATGCTTTGTGAAGAAATATTAGCAAAAGAGAGACTGTTGCATTCCTGCTTTTGGTCCAGTTTGTCATTTGCAAAAACTGAAACTGTCCCGCGGCTGGCTATAACAATACCGTACTCCTGAACATTTTGAATGTCCCCTCAAAGGGCTTTAAAACTTTTAAAACGGGCAGGGACTTTAAAAATGCAACTCCCCGTCATTACAATCAGCTGTCAATATGCAAGGATGCTATAAAGATGAAGCAGGAAAATCAGTGAGGAAACAGGACAAAGTATTCGTTTGCTGGCGTCTGCTGTCATTTTGTAAAGCTGAGACAATTTTTCCTTTGCTAAGATAGAAATTGTTCTTTTTTCAGACATCAATTTTTAACCAAAGCAATAAAAACGTGGGGTTTATATATACATATTTTTGTTATAAAATGTCAACGTTTTATTTTTAAACGAGATAAGTATTCACGCCAGGTTGGGGACAGCATCTCCCACTGCTCCAACCACATCAAAGGCAGGATGAGGGAGCTAGAGACAGGCGCTGCAGCCATAAGTGTGAGTTTCCTGGATTTGGGGTGTTTAAATCTGACTGCCATTATTTTCATCTGGTTTTTACGAATGCGTTTTTAGAGAAGAGAAAAAAAAAAAAAAAAAAGAGAGAAGAGAAAGAGAGAGAGGGAGAGATCCTTTTTATAGACAAGAGACAAGAAAAAAACTCAGAGTATGGGAAAACGTCTAGCAGGAACACAAAGCCAACGCTGTTTACTACAGGTATATAAATAGCCACGTACAAATATTTACTGTATTAAAAACTATTTATCTGCTAAACATTAGGGTAGCAGGGCACTGTAGAAAAATGCCGGGAACTTTCAAATATAACCAGCTTGCCTTTACCAATTAATCAGAAACAACAATAACAAAAAAAAAAACGCCCTGTGGTATCACGACTTTCATACAGCCTGACCGTAACCCACGACTCCCTGAGCAGCGGGAGACAGGCTGGAAAAGCACCCCGAAAGAGAGAGGACACGAAAAGGAGCGGGAAAGGCAAATCTGTCCCTTCCACTCACTTTCGACGGCGGCGCCCAGCACCCCGCGGCACTGCCCCACGGCACCGGCAGGCAGCCGGCCCCACAGCAGGCGCTGCTCGCCCCGCTCCTACCTGGCGAGACGGAGGGGGAGGGCGGCCTCCAGAAGTCCTCGAACTCGGACACCCTGTCGCAGACGCTGCCCTCGCAGCTGGGCGCTGACTCGGAGGTGCCATCGGCAGCCTCGGTAAGGTGGGACTCCGGGGAGAAGCGGCGCTGGGACGGCTCCGGGTCGGGCAGGACGGTGCGGCACAGCCCGGCGCCCTCGGGGATCTTGCTGTCTGCGGGGAAGGCGAGGCGAGGGGCTGCTCAGCGCGGGGCGAACCGGCTGCGGCCTCCCTTCCCCGCCCTGAGCCCCTCCGCCTCCCGCCGGGTGCTGCGGGAAGCTCCCCGCCGAGTCCCGCAAGGCGAGACGCCCCCGCGGGGGTCTGCGCCGGCCGGCAGCGGGGAGCCGCCGAGGGAGCCCCTACCTGCGCAGATCTGGGCCAGCACCGTCTCCAGCCGCAGGCCGTAGTCCTCGTCGGCGGAGCGGGGCTGGTGGTAGCTGTGCGCCTTCTTGCTCTTCACCAGGAAGGACCTCGGCATGGTGGGTGCTGGCGCGGCCGCGCTCCGTCTCCGGGCGGCCGGGCACGGCGGCGGCGTCGAGCGTCACCCCCGGGCGTCCCGCGGGGCGGCAGCGGGGAGGCGACCTGCGGGGAGGCGCCGAGCCCGCCGCTCAGGGCCGGGGGCCGGCTCGCAGGTGGCGGCGCGCAGGTGGCTGCGGCCGCCGCCCCCGGCCCCCCCGCCAAGGGGCCGCTCCCGAGCTTCGGCGGGAGCACCGAGCACCGGCGGCCGTCCCAGCGGCTAAAGCGGCAGCGGCGCCGGCCGCACGCCCTCCCCGGGCCGCCCCGTCCGTCCCCAGCAGCCCCCGAGGGGCAGCGCAGCGCGGGGCGGCCGCCGCCGCCGGGCCCCGGGCTGGGAGGGTGGCTACAAAACCGCCGCCAACCCCGACGGCTGCGGCGCTCCCCGCCGTCGGAGGGCCCGATTCACCCCCAGCGCAGCGACGTGAAAACGAACGAGGCGGAATGCGACCCGAGGCCCGCGGCTGCCGGCGGCGCGACGCCTCGCAGCTGCGGGCACTCAGAGACGGGGCCGGGGGGGGCGAGGTGCGAAACGTCGGGGGGGCCCCGCCGGGAGCCGGGGGCACGGGAGCGGGGCCGCCTCCGCCGGCTTCTGCGGGCCGCGGCGGGGCGAACCGAACCGGCCAGCGCTTCGGCCTCGGCAAAGAGCCGCCTCAGGTCGCGTCCGTCGGGCTCTTTCCGAGGGCTCGCAGGCTTTTACTCAGCTCCTCGAGCTGCGAGAGCGAAGGGAAGGGAAGGGAAGGGAAAGGGCCCGGGCCCGTCCCCCCGCCCCGGGGCTGCCCCGCACGAGGCGACCCGCGCCGGCCCCCGGCACTCGACGGGGGCAGGGCTGGGAGGCGCCGCCCCCGGGCACGGCGCCGGCGAGCGGCTGGGAGCGGCGCTGCCCCGACCCACCTGCGCCGCCGTTCATCCTTGAGCGGGGCGGGGGGCGAGAGATCAAAGCGGCCCCGGCACTACCGGGGGCACCGGGAGGGGGGGCTCGGTGCGGCGGGGCCGCGTGCTGCCGGCCCGGCGGGGCGCTCCTCCCTCCGATAGCCCAAGGCCGGGGCCCGTGGGAAGGCGAGGCCCGGGCCCACCTGCCCGACGGCCGCCGCTGTGGGGGCGCGGGGCCGGAGCCTCCCCGAGCCGCCGAGGACCGGGGGCGAGCTGGGCAGAAGGGGCGCTGCCGCCCGGGGAGGGAACGAGGAGCGCTTACCCATCTGGAGGGGCGGCGGGAGCCGGGCTGCACAGGTGGGGGGTTGCGCCGCAGCCTGCTCGTTTGGGTGACTTTAAATTTAGCCTCCCTTTAAGGAGCGATGGGGCTTGAATTGGGTTGTTTTTTGGTGTCTTTTTTTTTTTTTTTCTGTCTCTCTCAACTCCTTCAGAGCTCGGCCCCCTAAACCACAAATTCCACTTCCTGAGCGTTAGGAGCTTCTGAAAAAAAAAAAAAAAAAAAGAAAAAAAAAAAACTTTAAAAAAAAGCCAAAGCCTCACAAATCAGCACCGTTCCCCTTCCTCTCTCCTTTTTCCTTAAATGAAAATGTCTTACCGTATTCCACCTCACAGGGCCCGCTGAAGTGACATCAAAGTGTCACTGGAGCGGGGCGTTTCATTTCTCTCGGGGTTCTGCTCTAGAAATTACACACATCTATCTGAACTATTCTTGGATCCCCTCCGACTTCCGCAACGAGAACAAGTCACAGATTCACAACACAGATTGACTCGGCGCAGGCACAGGCAGAGGGCAGGGGATGGAGGAGCCGGCCCCGGCCCCGGCCCCGCCGAGCCGGCCGCGGGCAGCGTCGCCCCGCTCGGCCCCGCGCATAACGGGGCTAAGGCAGGGCCTGGGCACCGGAGACCTCCCCTAGCCTAGAAATAACTTGTTGTGGAAAAGTCTTTCGGGATAAATACGCCCAACAGCGCTGAAAATACCTAAAGCCCCAAGCCTGGAGGTTTGCTCATTTCCCCTCGGATTTAGGTAATGGTTAAATATGGAAGGGGTAGGCGAGGTCCCCCCGGCCCCCCTCCTGCGGAGGCCTCTGCCGCCTGCCAGCCATCGAGGGCCGGCGGGGAGCGGCGCCGGGCGGGACGGCAGCGGGGGCGGCCGGGGGCTGCCGCGGCACCCCGGGCTGGGCTGGGCTGGGCGGGGGGAGCTCGCCCCGCTCCGCCCCCGGCCGCCCCCCGCACGCCGTGCTGCAGGCCCCACGGGCTCCCGACGCCCGGATCTTTGTGCGCCGGGGGGGTGGGGGGACGGACGGACGGACAGCACCGCTTCGCCTTGCGCAGCGCCTGAGCCACCCCGCAGGGACGAGGCGGGAGCAGCCGCCGGCCCCCGGAGCTCGGCGCCTTGGCGGAGCAGGTGCTTTCCTCCAGCAGACACCGAGAAATTACTCACTTTGTGCCCCAGAGGGACACGGCACTAACCTGGCTTCCCAAAACCTAGCTGAGCAAGCAAACACCACCACGAAAAAGAAAGAAAAAAAAAACACTCTCCAACCTTTCGAAGGTTGTGTGTGGTAGTGACACAGAGGAAGTCGAAGCACACGCCTGACACGTCGCCCTTAACACATTTATTAGTGCTGGAAAGTTCCTGGTGCTGGGCACAGCACTTTTGCTTACGGCAGCGGTGCGCCGCGGTCTCCTGGCTGCACTTCGGGCTGCTTACGCTAACTCTGAAAATCATTCACGCCGTCGGTTTTAAAAATAAATGATGGAATCAGTAGAAATAACTGGAACTACTCGGTGTAGTTTCATGTACGCGTTGCTGTCACTTTCTGTAAAGCCATCTCGTTACCTTCCACAGCGGGACCGTGCGCGGATGGCCCTTCGCCTACCTTTTCGAGCAGCCCTTTGGCTGCGCCTCACGAAAGCAGCAGAGAGCGTCCCGGGGCGCTGCTGCTCGCGCTCCCGAACTGCTCCGGCCCCGGGACAAGAAAACAAACGCGCACCCCTCCGGGGAGCCGCGGCCAGGCTGTACGCGCGGCTTACCCGAACGCGGGAACACGGCCTCGTCCCGTGCTGCGCGGGGCCAACCCGCGCCTGGACGCTCCCCGCCTGCCCGTCGAGGACGGGGAAAACGGAGCGCGGGCAGCGCCCGCCGGGCCCAGCCGAGCCCCGCGGGAGCCCGGGGCCGGCCTGGCTGGGTCCCGGCCGCCTCCGGGCACCCCCCGGGGCTGGCGCCGCCACAGGCGCTGCGAGCACGTGCCGCGGGCCGCGGCGCGAGGCGGGAAAATGGCCGCCGCCCCCTCAGCCCTGAGGGGAGCCGTTGCGGGCGGGCAGGCGGCAGCCCCGCCCCGCTCCCGGTAACCTTTAAGAGGGTGTATGTGTAATGCAGTGGTCACTGTTAGAGCTGGGTGAAAATGCCAAATATTCTATATCCCAGTGTGAGAATGCCAAAAGCCAATCATCCTGAGTTGGCAGAGATGGAATTCATGTGAAATACAAGTCATGGGAGTGGGGCTGGACTTAACAGAAATTCCTAATGCTCCCCCTAAAAGGGTAAAGGATGTGTAATATTCAAAGGTAACCATGAAAACTTGGCAAGATACAGTTAATGCAATGTAAGTACACGGTTATTGCCCCATTGTGACAAAAGAGAGGAAATCAATAAAAGGATAGGTTTAAATAATCAATAACAAATGAAAGGAGGGGTTTAGTGTGGGATTATATTACAGCTGTGTTTAAGAGAGCTACTTGATGTAATTTACTGCACTGTTCACAGCAGCTGCCTGACATCACCCCTTGAGCTAAGAAGACATATAAGGAAGCAAAGGTGATGGGATGCACACGAGATCTTCATGGGCAGAAGTGATGAGACTGTAGAGAGGAAGGAGTCGAAGAGTTGGATTTGACAGGTTAGCTGCTTGGTACGTTGGGGAGAAAAAGCATTTTTTTATCTGTAGAAGTCAGGATTGGGAACAGGCAGCAGTAGAGAGAGCAATTCTATGAGGAGCTCATGAGTAACATCCATACTTCAACATGATAAAACCTGAGATCACAGACCACTTTCACTAGGAGAGGCTGCTAGAACTTGTAGCACTGCACATTATCTTGGGAAGTGTCTTAATTTTTATAATAACTTTTGGTAATATTTATTTATTTTTAATGTATTTCCTGCTTATTGTCTTTTTGTTTGTTTGTTTGTTTGTTTGTTTTGTTTCTCCCCCCAGTGGCCACATAACTATGTTTCTCCTTGTGGCATAAAAATGTGCTGTAAATATGTGAGACGTTAATCATTGATTTTGATAGTAGTTTTTCAGATCACTGGGGAAACCAAAGTAACTTCATCTGCTGCTCTCAGAGCAGATTAGAAAAACAATGAACATTGTGAGCACAAACTGGAGACAGACAGTGTTAGTAAACTGGGGTGTTGAAGACTGGGATGAAAAAAGTATTCCAGCTTTGGGAAGGAGTAGACCCAGAACTTACCTCTGTTATTGCATACAAAGGAGAAATATTTTGTGATGAGGGTGGTGAGACACTGATAGGTTGCTCAGAGCTGTGGATGCGCCATTGCTGGAAGTGTTCAAGGGCAGGTTGGTTGTGGCGTTGAGCAACGTGATCTAGTGAAAGATGGCAGGGGGTTGTTCTTCAGAAGCCCCTTCCAACCTACCCCATTCTATGATTATGACCAGAAGCAAGTCGAATCAGTGGGTTACAGAATGTAGACTATGCAAAATGGTCTCAGAAATTTTATTTCTGGTAGAGGGGGACCAGGTATTTCAGTCACTTATGTAACAGTATGCATACAACTCAAAGTGTATGCCACATTGCATTTGTATTTCATAATTTTGAAATGAGGTATGCATTCTTGGAAAGAGAAGGTGTTACACTGTTGTATTTTGGATCTAGCATGTGTATGGTTGTATCTGAGTCAATCAGTGACCATGTATGTTTAGTCATATGTACGTTACCATGTTTGCTCCACTCTAAGAAGCTGAAACTTCTCGCTATTTAGAATTTATATTGAAAGGCAATTTGTGGTGTGCTTTCCATTCCACCATTCAGAGTCTCCCGTTCTAAAGACTACTGTATGAATTTATTTAATTGATTTTTCTTGTCTTCAACTAGTTTGTAAAAATAAACCCAAACTTCAGAGCCTTATATTGATGTAAGCAATATATATTATTGATTATATCATCTTATATTGATGTATTATACCGATAAGAGTATTTCAGAGAACAAAATAAAAATCTAGAAATCCAATAGTTAACACACAGCTTTTTCCTTCCCTCTCAACACACACAGATTCAGTAGCTGGTGCATAATTAAACTTAACACTGTAATTTCTACTTAGATTGTACTAACCACTATTCTATAGCTTGAATCCTTTTTCTTTCTTTCTTAGTCTTTGGGACTAGCCTAATGACTCTCCTAGGAAATCTGCATTCTCTTACATCAAAATGTGTAACACTTTGCTCCTCTGCAAGTAAAGGAATTAGCAGCACATCCATTCTAAAATGTGATTATTTTTATGCTAACATATCTTTAGGTCACTACCTTAAAATACATTTTTTGTATCGTTTCACTCAAAGTCTGATGCTGTCTGATATAGAACAGTGATTACATAAAAACAACAACAGAATCCCAAAACAGAGAAACATGCAATTCCTTCTGTGCTGCTATTCCACATGCTATTCCACAAAAGGGCTGAGTAGTGATAAAGTACAGTATTAAATGACTTACAAAATGATTTTGTTAAATTTATGCTAACATCTCTCTTTTTTTAATAGCTGATAGGAATTTATTTCAGTGAAAATTATATAGGAATCCACATTCATGGTTGAAAACTGAATTTAGTGTGAAATAATACTTTGTTAATATGTACAGAGATCAGGCCTGCATTTTGTCAAAAACAAAGAATCACAGAATATCCCTAGTTGGAAGGGACCCACAAGGATCATCAAGTCCAATTCCTGGCTCCCCACGGGACCACCCAAAAATCAGACCTTATATCTAAGAGCATTGTCCAAATGCTTCTGCAGCTCTATCAGGCTTGGGCCTTGGGGAGCCTGTCCCAGTGCCCAACCACCCTCTGGGTGCAGAACCTTACTCTAACCCCCAGCCTGACCCTCCCCTGTCCCAGCTCCATGCTGTCCCCTCGGGTCCTGTCGCTGTCCCCAGAGAGCAGAGCTCAGCGCCTGCCCCTTCGCTCCCCTCGTGAGGGAGCTGCAGGCCGCCATGAGGCCTCCCCTCAGCCTGCTGTGCTCTGGACCTGAACATACCAAGGGACCTCAGCTGCTCCTCATATGTCTTCCTCTAGACCCTTATCTGTCTTTGTAGGCCTTCTTTAGAAGTTCTTTAATTGTTTTATGTCCTTCTTATATTGTGGCACTCAAAAGTGCACACAGTGCTCAAGGTGAGGCCATACCAGTGCAGAGTTGAGAACGGTCACTTCCATTGACCAGCTAGCAATGCTGTGGCCAACACGAAGAAATCAGTTGAGCCTTTAATGTATGTAATAGATGCTTCTTGCCCTCACAGATATACTTGCTCCCAATTAGTCATGTTTTTACTTTTTAACAAATATTATGAAGTCCTAATTTTTTATTATTACAGTAAGCTAAATAAAAGGGATCCATGACTATCACGTGATTCATCAAACAAACATGCCTAAAGTAAGAAGTGGTCTAATAATAAACGCTATCAAGTCCTAAAATATGAATTCCCTTAGCC